CATATATATTATAGGCAATATACATGATGGAGTCAGCCGGCTAGAGCCAATTCGTCATTTAGCTCTATATGAAGGATTAGTCGATTAGTCGAGAATATCTCGAATAAACTAGGCGTGTTGTGATTTACAATATATCTTGATCAACAGTAACGACCTTTACAATTTACTTTGTAAGCCACAATGCCGTATCAGAAACATAGACTATATTATGCGGCGCTCCAATGGCAACAATCGGCTAGAAATACGATATTGTGAGAAGCATATCGTAGATGTCAAATGTGTAAGAGTATTAATATTTCGGCACTCATAAAGATATTGTGTTTTTCTTTTTCTGTTTTCATCTGCGGTTTATTTGACCACAATAGCAATGGCAACTAGAAATACAAATTATTATCAGGCACAAGAAAAATACATATTTGGTTTTAATGTCAATGTGCTGTGCGGTTGTGTGTGGTGTGTTGTCGGTTAGGGTTTGTTTTGTGCTTTGCTTGCAAAACAATTTTGGTTTTTCACATGCGTTACCTGAATTCAGCTCTTGTGGATTAATACCAACATTAAGCAATAACACCCAACTGACCCGATCAGCACTCGCAACCCCCTGCATTCTGTTCAACAGTCCATAATTTAGGCTGTTTGGATGTGGCAGCAATGTGGCAAAAGGAAACTCATTTTAGGGCAATTTTTGTTTGTTCAACATTTGTTGCTGCTGAAGCAGCAACTGTCTCTTTGCCACACTATCCCCACAATGTCTGTCCGCAACGCCGCCCCGCCACAGTTCACTTACTGTAACTCTATGATGCAATAAGTGGCATGCCATTTAATAGACCACAATTTCGTTTCTGCTGTTGCGAATGAGGTTACCGACAACGTTGCAAAGCACGCGAACAACGACAAAAACAACCATAACAACAAGTACATGGCACAACAGCAACATTATGACCAATATTGGTAACAACAATTATGATTGCAGCCCGCAAAACAACAGCAACATTTGTCGAAACTAAGCCTTCTAATTGGAATTGTTTAATTACGTGACCCAATGCTAAAAACAAAATGTGTGTACACGCTTACATATGTAAACATATTTGTGTTTATATGACACCAAAAGGTGTTTGTAGCCGCATCTTTGTATAAATTTTAGAAATTTATGGACAACAAGTGTGAGGACAGGAGACATGACAGAGCACAAGGGGCGCAGAGAAAAAGGGAAATATGCTTATGCGAGCAACGACATTCCAAAAATAATGGCTCGAGCGATTTTCAATATATGAAAACCATAGATAAATATCGTTATTTTATGATGTACTAGAGTATATATATTTTATGATTCCAGTCTCAAAGTGAGCTTGTGGAGTAAACTTTCATAGAGCTAAGCTTTTATCTGCTTAAGTGCAAACTTGCATAAGACCATTTAATGGACAGAGGGTGCTTTAGATAATGTCCGGGGCTAGGAGATACCTCGTTACTTTGAGCATATTTGTTGTCTTTTAATTGATGTTTATGTTAAAGGCATAAACATGGCATTTAAATTTATGTGTGTTGCTTGCCGGCCGAATAAGCAATTAAATAAACAAGCAACAAATTGAAAATTGCTGCTGAAGTTGAACCGGCGACCTGCGGCGACAAGCTTGCCAAAAATCCTTAAAGCTTCTCAATATGAGCAACTTGCCATTTCTGATCAATTTTGTACAAGTTGGGAGCATCTTAAAGCTTAATGGCCACTTCACTTCTACTTAAGGGCCAACTTTCTTAGCCATTTCGTTTGGCAGTGGCTTGTGATATTATCGCCTAACAAGCGGAAAATGCCGTCAACTTGCGAGCGAGTGGCAACAGCCTTTCAACAGGCAGACAGCCTCCCAAAACAAGACTCACAGACGCACAGCAATTTAGATATTGATTTAGATAGCGCTGTTAATACTTGTGTAGTTACGAGTATATTTACTGCCGTTGCTGCTAGAGCAGGAAACGAACATAGTCGTCGGTGTGGGGGCGTGGGGTTTTAGATTTTCCTGGTACATATCTGGGCGTGTACTCGTTTGGTGTCCTTGTCGACATGGCCAGACCGCCTAATGACGGTGGACAGAAGTAACGTAATTGGCAATTGTGAAATGATTGATTTGACATCCATTTCATTTAATCATTAGCTCTAAACTGTCGTACATTAATTGGACCTCAATTGCAACACACGCTGTACAAAATGTCTAATTAGTCTTATCTCAATAAATTATAAGCGTGTTTTGCTTTTAAGTTTGCCTCTCGCAAAGCGAAGGGCTTTTCCACTTTACCATCCAATCGGTTTATTTCTACGGTTACAGTAATATCAATAGGACTTTAAGTGAAGGCCACAAGAGAGCATGAGCAGAGTCCATTATTTGCTTATTTAAAAGTCTTTCTAATTAAGATCTGTAAGAAAACTTATTCCAAACTCAGAAACCCCGGGATCAATCAAAATAGTGCGACCGACACAAATCAGATCAGTGATTAGTTTTTAATAAAATATTGATTTAGGTGTCAACACGATTTAAAATCTAATTTATGTTGTCACTTGCGATTCGATATTTAATTCATAGTAATTAGCTTGTCATAATAACTTTGCCTGAAACTCAACTACATTTTAATTGCATTATTATTGCAAAATAAAAGCCTGCTGTGCTAAATCCATCCAATACAGATAATATATATGCGTGAGTTTTTCATATAATTGATTATTATTTTATATTGCATTATTATTTATTATATTATTTTATAAATTAATAATGTTCGAACGAGCGTCAACCTAATAATATATTATTGTTTATTAATAATGGGTAAATGTACGTTCAGTTCATGCAGGCCTTCGGGTCATTGTCAGGCAGATATCAAGGACGGCAACTTGACTTTTTCTGCTAGTTATCTGTTTAAAAGTTGAAAGTTCATTATTCTTCTATATTAAATCGCAACGCACGCACGAATGCACAGGCTCTTTTAAAAAACCATAGGTTTTTAATAAATATTTGCAATATTTCATTTACGTTTTTTTTTTTTCTTGTTTCAATTTTACATTTTTTCTTTGAAGCTTCATATTGTATTTGCACAAGCCGCTTATTTGGTTTATGTGGCGTACATAAATTAAAATCAGCTGGTCATTAATAAAGCGACTTAATTCAATTAAATGAAATTTAATTAAATAAAGTTGGCCTTTTTTTCTTTATTTTATTTTTTCCTTTTTTTTCCTTTTTTTTTTTCTGCTGTTCAGCAATTTGATTTCAATAATGAATTCAAGTGCCAATTGTTGAACATTTAGCAGCATTCATTAATTTATAAAACGTTCGTGTTGTTTATAAATTGCGACCTAAAAGTGCAAAAATAGTAAATTGCAAGAAAGCGCACAGCGCATAAATCAAAATATTGCAAAATGCCACTCAACAAAGCAATTTTCGCATTTATTTATTTACACGCAAGCGCCGCGTTGCAAAAACTGAAAAAAAAAAAAAAATAAAAAAATAAAAAACGAGTGAATTTTAATTAATTCTTTATAGCTACGGCCAGACAGCAGTTGATGTCGAGGGCGTGTTGACTGCCGCTGTTGCTGCTGCTGCTGCTGCTGCTTCTGCTGCTTCTGGTGCTGCTGGTCGCACAAAGCTGCTAAACCAATTAGCCGCCCAGATGAGACAAAAGTTTTACAATTGTCTGACGAGTTAGGTTCAGTTCGCGTTGTATATGACTGACTTGGTGTCGTATACGCAATGCGTCAACTGTTTCACCATGTTCACTCTTTAAATAGTTGTTGTTGTTGTTGTCGTCGTTGCTGTGGTACTTGCTGCTGTTGTCGGCAAGATTTTTGCACTGCCTTGCGGCGGACTGTCGTCGTCTGTCGTCTTGACTAATTTATATGTGCATATTAAATTAGCCCGAGCGGCGTAAAGTGTCGCGCTTGGAATTAGTTCACACCCTAAGACACACACAAACACACACACACACACACACACACACACATACACACGAAGACGTTTCAATCTGATGGCTTTTATTATTTAATTGACAGTCTCGGGCGGTTGCTTCCTGTGTCTCACGCGGCGTATGCGCAATGTCATTTGGCACGCTTCTAAATTGAATTGAATTTGCATCGCCCAGCACCAAAACAAATCTTTACACAATTTTGCTAATTAGTTAAACGCAAATCAAACAAGTTAATGTTGTTTTGAAAAATACAAAACATAATTTTAATCGAATTTCGATATAGTCATGTTCAAACTTATTTTCCTTAGACAATTTGTTGAACGTTTACAACAAAATAGAGATTTATGCCAACTCTTTTAATGGACTGTCTAAATGAACTAGCTTGGGCCTAAAACTAATGCTAGCAAACAACTACGAGACATTTTTTATAATACTAATAAATATTTACTGTTGCAGTAGTCGTTAATTTTCTGTCAAAATATGGCCATCGATAATTGCTGATAAATCAATTTTGTTTTATACTTATAATATTGCCTATTCTATTGAAAGTATGCCAACTGTGCTTATTTTCACGTATAAGTGGCGGGCTATATTTGATCTCTACAAATTGACATCTACCAGATGTGATTAGATATATCCAATGCATTGGGGTTTTTATGTATTGAGGCTTTCTCAAGGGAAAAAAATATTGTGTTCGAGTTGTGCTTCGATAGGGCTTAAGCCGGCTTGAACTGGGATTGATTCCACAACCCTAAATTAGTTAAAGTAGTTAATATCAGGCTTGTGTATATCGGAATTGGGCTATGCAACGTTCAAAAATGGCCAGCATATAAATAATAAATGCAATATTAAACGCTGAAAAATCTCCACGCAGTTAGATATCGGCGGCAATTGGCCCGATCGCAAAAAGTTGCCGGCAATGAATGGAACAAACACAATCAACTGAATGGCCCCTTGTTGCTGCATTGTGCCGGGGTTAGTGGGTCGGCTGGGCCAATGCATTATTTGTTTAACAGCTGTGCCTTATGCAACAATTAAAAATATTTGCTCTTATTTTGCAGCAACAATCGCTGAGCGATACGAGTGCGGACAGCGGCAAAGGTGCAAAGTTTTTATTGCGAAAACGCAAATCGAAGAAGACGACGGAAGGTACAATAACAGCAGGAGGAGTTGGAGGCGGTGTCGCTGCTGCAGTTGCAGTTGCAGCCGCTGCGAATGGCGAGCACAAAGGTAGGACAATGAATAAAATAAAAGGAAACAATGGCCGCAATTGCAAATGGCAACAATTCAAAATGGCGCCAAGTGCAAATGGCGCAAAGTTTGTAAATTGCCATCATTTGTAGTTTGTTTTATTTTATTTATTCAGCAGGCTGTTGTGCCTTGTTTTTAATTAATTACAAGTTGCAAGCAACTAATCTTTTATTCTCTCTTCCTGTCTTCCCTCTTTCTCTCTCTCCCTCTCCGGCTTAACTGTCTTGCCCTATTTGTATAGCTAAACGTGGCACACAGCCGTCCATAAAATGCGTACTGGTTGGCGATGGCGCTGTTGGCAAAACCAATTTGATCTTGTCATATCTGGAGAATCGATTCAATCCGGAGCATGTGCCGACGGCATCAGATATTTATAACGGTAAGTTGAGACCCGTGAAAATTGTGAAAATTGTGAAAATGTTGATTGCCTGCCGCCTTACTCGACTGCGCTTTTCAACAGGTTTACTTAACGGCATTTTTCGTTGTTCACACACGCACACACACTCTTTCACACACTCACACACACACACACACACACACACACAAGTAAGCAAGCAAGCAAGCAAATAACTTCCACCCAACACGACCTTCGACTGTTTTTCTGCCTGCCTGCCTTCCTGGCCGACCGCCCGCCCTCCTGCTTGGCTGGCTGCCTGGCTGCCACGTATATGAATTTTTCATTTTGTTGAAAACCAATTTGTGAAATCTTTACTGAGTTTCCGTGTGAAGGATGCGGCACGCTCGGCATTCGACTGTGGGCCAGTCTCAGCTGACGGAAGTAGGCGAAAATGATGTTCAACTGCCTGCAGGCTGCCGTTTGAAATCCTTCTCCTTTCCCACTTGCCGACCCCATTCCGGTTCACAGAGCCCCGGCAGGAAGGCAGCTTCATTTGACTTTCACTGCTTCCGCATTTGCGCGCTCTCATGCCATATGTGTGTGAGCGTGTGTTGTCCTGTGAGTGGGTGTGTGTATTGGGCTGTGCTTGTGTGCTATTCACGAATTTTAATGAACGGAAAATTGAAATTTGCGGTTATTCAGAACAGCAGCAACAACAACAGCAGTAGCAGCAGCAGCAGCAGCGGCAGCACCAGCAATAACAACAGCGGCCAGCGCATCGCTTGGTGGGGGCCATAAAAAAGGCAGCCGCCTTTGCCTTTTGTGGCCGCCATCTTTTCTAGCCTTTTAGGTCTCAACTAGTAGGCACTTGCACTGCAAGTGATTGAATTATGTTGTGCCCCTCCCACCCCCACACACACCCACACACACACACGCTGGCACCCATACATACACACACACCCATACACATTGAGGCAATGCGCCACTCGAGGCTGCCACTTGATGTCTGCCTGACTCTAATAAATTTTGCATGAATGTGCACTTATTTTATGCCGCAATGCCCTGATTCCAAAGAGCAATATAATGGATCTGCTTTGCTTTATATTACTTACTTTATATTCGAGCTCGAATTTTTGTACTCATTAGCTTTAACTAATTTTCATTTAAAATGTTCTAAACATATTTCATCTTTCATCGATGTTGCACGTTAAAAAGACTGCAATAAATGATTTTTGTCAAGCAATCTTGCCTTTAGAATACTTAAGTAAACTTTTTGAACACATTTCAAAAGTCTAAGCTCCATCGTATCAAAAATGAATAGAGTTCGCCTGGGGCAAAATTTAATATAAGCTTTAGTTTGCTCATAACAAATTAAGTAAGTGCTTTTCACCACACAGGTGAACAAAAAAGAACGGCTACAGTCGTATTTTTGCTTCAAGACATTTGGCTTAAATGTGCATTTCCAGGCAAACTTTATTTATGAACATAGAAGCTTAAAAATCGACTCTCGAGCTCTATATATAAAAGATCTCCGATGCTTTAAAGAGTACGCGTTATATAAGGATAATTTTATAGCTCGTAAATGCCAAGTTTGTTCAATAGTTCTTGAAAAACAAAGAGATCTTTCATACAGGAACTTAACTTTGGGCTGATCGTTTCTATGGCCGCTTAATTGTACAACGGTCCGATCTGTCTGACTGCCATACTTATATAAATATTAATCAACAATATATATATATATATACTAGATAAACTTAACGTTTTGACTTGCTCTCCTGCATGTGACACATCTCGTGGCAATATAAGGACTTAGAGTAAAAAGTGAGCCAAATAACTTGATTATACATGTTTATGTTTCTCATCGGCATTAAAGTCTGTCTGTTTGTTTGTTTTTTCTTTTTTTTTTTGTTTTAAATCCTCGCAAAGTGTCATTTGCCACGAAATCAACTGGAAACGAAAACAATTTGCTAACGCTTTTCATTTCTTATCGTTCCCTTTTTCAATCTTTACGCATCTGAAATGCCGTTTGCATGCTACATGGAGATGAGGCGCCTCTTTGATGCGCCGCCACTTCTGCTTGAATGGTAATTCTTCGCTTATTACGCATACGCCATGTGCGCTATTTGCCGAATGCCAAGCATAACAGGCTCGCCTCTAATACAGCCATGGCATAATTTCGCGCACTCACGTGCACAAACACTAGGAAATTCATGCCGGAAATCTAACTTGAGCATCTTATGGGCACCTGTGTGTGTGTTTAGTAAGGCTCGCTGTGTGCACGCGCGCGTGTGTGTGTGTGTGTGTTTATGTCGGTGTGATTTGCATATTTGCAAGGGGCTTTGCATAGTTTCATCCAATATAACTTTTGCGCATAGTTCAACTAATTATCAAGTGCCACCCTTCCTAAAAGAATAGTAGAAAGAGAGAGCGCCTAAAAGTTCGTGAGCACAAGACTTGACGTCGCATAGGAATCAGATACAACATCTATCAAACGTCATTACTTGAATTAAGTGCATCTCTAAATGGCTATTTTAAAACTTGTCTTCTTGTTACCAGAATTACGTACAGGAAGAATAAGAAGACTATTAAGAGAAAAAACAAACAAAACACTTATTAATGAGTGTATTGAGACATAAATACCCTAGACGACAATATCTGTGTCGGTTATCTGATGTAATTAGCCTGTGAAATGTCAAGTTTCACCTAAATAACTTCAAGGCTGAGAAACCGCAGCGAAACAGACAGACGATCGAATTTACAGAGGGGTATATCGACGCGGCTATTGATACTGTTATAGGAAATGTATTCATATGGGCTCGAAAATATGTAGATCCTATATATCGTGACATAAATATAATAAGTAGCCTGTTCTAGGCGCGTTTTTTTACTTCGACTTTCTATGCGATGCCTAATTTCAATATATCATCGGCGAATAATAATGTTATTAATGATTTCAAAATTGTGGCTTCGTAACATAACTAAAATTCGACTATCTCAGTCCCTCTCTCTCTCCCTCTCCTTCTCTCTTTGTCTATCTGGCTGTCTGTAGCGTTTCTGTGCGATTCTCAAGATTTGAAATAAAACGTAAAGTAATGTGTTGAAATGGACACAGTCATAATGGATATAGTTAAGCGGTCTCTTTTTGTTAATTTTACTCGAAAATTATTATTATTATTTTAAGTAGTATTAATTGTATTTATGGAAGTATGCCAAGTATCATCAAGTTCAGAGCTTCCAAACAGAAGCGTGGTCTATGTGGTCTGGTTATTGCTGCTGATCAAGAAATGTATATACAATATAATCACAGGGTAAAAGTCTTTTATACGCTTGTTAACTTAGCTAACATTGAGTAATTGACAAACTGAATGAGTGAGTAAGTGGGAATGACTGACTCAATTAGGTTTCAATAAGCCAGCCAAGCGTTTGACTGGTTTTCAATAGCCGCCGACAAGTAACAATTTCACAATTGTGTGGCGCACACACTCACACTCACACACACACACACACCCATAGACACGCACACACATGGACACACACTCCCTCACACAGAGACAAAACAGACTTAGACATCCGCAACGAGGCTTTGTCTTCTTTTGTTATGCGCCATTTAGCCGCTGGATGGCGCTTTTGTCGGAATGTCGTTAAATGCGTGAAGTCAAGTTTTATTTGGTCGTATTTTGCCGTTATGCGATACAATTTTATGCGCACACCAAAATCGATAATCGATTAATAAGCCACCGAGATGAAACATAAAAGAGTCAAAATAATGGCCCAAAATGTATGCTTTATACAAATTGGCACAGAAAAAATGAAAAGAAGAGGAAAAGGAAATTGAAATACTCGATTTTAAACAAGCCACGCCAGTTACTCTGAAAGCAGGCTGACCATTACTTCAAGAGAGCCTGTCAGAATCGTATTGCCGATTGCAATCAAGAGCCAGAACACCAGGCGGTCTGTATGCATATGAGGTGCATAACGCAAAAGCCAATGCGAACAATTGATGGATGCAAAGAAAAGGCCGGCCAGAGCGTACCCAGTCAAGTTTAAACGAGACCAGTCAAAGGCGTTCGAAATAAAATCCTTTTGTCCTTGATCCTTTTATGTGTATTGTGCAGCATTTTACCTGGGCATACCCTGCACTAATGGAAATCAGATGGTATATTTACTGTACTATAAAAACCATAAATATAATAGACTTAAGGCAGCAAAGAGTCAAAAGTGCAAGAAAGCAAAGAATTTCTATATATACTTATTTTACTTATTTTATTTTATTTGTAACTAAATGTTAACAAAATAGTTTTTTAAATAATTGTAATTTTATTTTTATTGCATATGTGATATTTTTGAATCGCGCCAAAATTGTAATACAGGGTATCGCTCAATCGAAACACAATAGAAACGAGAAAAGCTGCCGTTTGCCTTAAGAGTACACTTTTTCTTTGGCCCAACACACAATGCCCCATCCTGATTCAGGAGCTTAGCGTCAGCTTGCTGGGGACTGCAGCGTCAAGTGGTTGGAGCGGTTGGCATCGTTGCAAATGCATTCATGAAATTTATGCGCTACAAGAATAAAATTTATTTAACATGAGCCACGAGGGCGACCTTCGGCGACCTGCTGATTAAAAACTGAGAACAGCAGCTTTATTTACGTAGTGTAAACATCAGCAGCGACAGCAGCGGCAGCAGCTGCATTGAAAGGCAGTCATGATTAACTTTTAGATAGGGCACACACACATACACACACAGGCACATGCAAGCCACAGCTAGTGGTAACACACTAGCATTCTAGTTGGAGGAGTGGTTAGGGCTGCTGCTTGCCAAAGACGAGAGGTCAAACACGCTCGACGGCACATGAGAAACAAACCCAGGCCGCACTCTTTCACTTTTTTCTCTCTGACTCTACCCCCTCTTGCGCTCTCTCTCGGCTTGAAGGCAGCTTCTCTGGCAATTTAAATCATTTTGCACGCATTTTAAATATGAATGCAATGCTTACACGTTAAACACACACCAAAACACACACACACACACACACACACTCACGCACACGCATACTGTAGCGTGTAATATGAAGCTCAAATTGCTTTGGGGGGCGTGACCAGGCGCTGCTAATTCACTTGCCACCGGCTCATCATCATTGTTGCAGCTGGAAGTAGAGCGCGAACACACACACTTACACACACACACACACGGACACGCCTACGTGGCAATTAAAAAATGGATTCGCGTGAAATATGTTGCATACTTTTGAGTGCACAGCTTAATGACATCGCAACTGACGCTTCTTGTGACCCACGTACCGATCCGCACCCGCTCATATTTGATTTGCAGTTGCCACAAATGCAAAAGTGGCATTCAAATATGCATATAAGTATGCCAGATCGGACCACTCTGTCCTATAGCCTGCATGTAAATAACATATATATGCCGAGAAATCGAATACTTTACAAATTTATGGTTTTTAAGATGTTCAATCAAACTCACAATCAGGTATTGGTTTTTTTTTTTTTTTTTTTAATTTGAAGCCCTGCCCCTTGCAATAAAGCAGAAACTAGCACACCTACCGCATCGATTGAACATAAATGAAGTGCCAAGTGCCGACAATGTACAGCATGTAGCATGTTCAAGGGCCAACAGCATAGTGTAGTTTCGTTACGTTTACAGCTGAATCTCAGCAAACCGCTTAAGTACCCAAACCTCAGTGCACATCCCCAAAGCCGCTCAACATGCTAACAGTTTTAAGATTTTTGCCACAGTCTGTGAGCAACCGCAGCTACAAAGATGCAAACATAATCGTTCCCCCTACAAATACAAATATACAGATACTCCAGAACATGTTAGAGAGAAGTAAAACACACATGTTTTTGCTACACAATTCAAAAAATTTATTTTTGCCTAATTTCAATTGTGGCTCTAAAATATTTCATTTCCTAGTGGCAATGGCAAAATGTTTTCGGTTTGTTTTGCATTTTGTCAAAATTTGTTTTCCAGATATCCTGTAGCCAACAAATGTGTGTAAAAATGGGTATGATAAGTTGCACGAACTAATGTAAAAGGCAGAAAAATGCCTTTCCGCTCCTTTACTATTTTACTTATAGGATATTTATTTAATCATCAATTAACATTGATATAATTCGTCATAACATATGAGCATTTGACTTTCTCTTACTCGCTGTAATGTCATCTTTATATTTTTACGTTTACTACCTTACATATATCGCCTTTCTATGTGATTCTCATAGTATCAAGGAAGGCCTAAAGACTTTCACGTTCGATTTAAGTGACTTATACTTATAGTTTATATATTCACATTCACAAATACAAGTAAAATATTCAATATTTATACATTCCCCATCTATAAAATATATATGTAGATTAGTAATTTGCATTATTCTTTTTAAATCTAAACAAATATGTCAAATTAATTGTTTATAGAGGTGGAAACCCTGATTCTCCAAGCGAATCTAAATACGAGGCTTAGGGTTTAACCATGAATTAAAGATCCAAACATGGCTGTGGGCATGCAGCAAGTAACCAAGCATTGCAAACCGTGTTAACTGTTTGTGTGCGCATATGTGTGTGTGTGTGTAAAGGTTAACAGCAATTTTAGGGTCTTTAACAATTGATCAGCATTCTCCGTTGCGCTGTGTGGGATGCGGTCCGAATATGTAACCCGAAGGTTTCGGCAGATGGGCTGTCTAAAGGCAAGTGCAGCAAATACCCCGCATAGTTGGCCCTGAGTGGGTTAGGTGCTAGTGTGTGTCAAAGGTAGGCGTAGTAGTATCTGTACCACATATGTGTGTGTTTTGTGTGTATCTGCGTTGGAGTCTGTGCTGAGAAGTATGCTATGCCAAAAATGTGCACTTGCGTGAAGCGAGTCGTGGATTGGGCAGCATTTTAAATTAAATTCTAACTGAAATTCAATCAAAAATACCTGCACTCGTGTAAATAGTCAGAATTGGGTGGCATTTAAATATTGAACAATCAGCGCTCGTGTAAAGGCAAGAATTAAATTGCCAACTGAGCTTGACTTGGACGACAATCTCTATATATATTTTTCTATGTTCAGTTCACCAAGTGTGTGAATAATTGTCGTCTTGCTGTACGCCGACCTGTTCGTATAAAACTGTGAGCTCTGCTCTCTAGAGGGGCCCAGAAAAACATAAAAATCCTTAGATAAGTTAGACTGCCTATTCATGACCTTTTTTTAAAAGTCGAGCTAAAAATACTGCTATCACGTTCTCTCTCCTGAAGTGCGTAAGACATGGAATTTGTCTTAATCAGTTTGAAAGCCACTGACACTGAGGGTTACAGTTTTAGAGTCGCTAATATAACAATCTCAAAGACATATTTCGAATGATGTAAACTGATTTGGCATCAGACTAAAATATGCCTGCTGAAATTTTCTCTTACAATAACCGAAAAGTTATTTTGCATTGGATAGGTGGCTTTCAAACTGTAGCAGCAAGTCAGTGGCTCCTGAACGGTGCATTTAAAAAATTTTGGATTTTGCAATTTGTGACAATATGTTAACTTGGACTACAATTATTTGTTATTTACCTAGCCGCAAACGCAGCACACGATTAATATACTCATTTTAGCATACGAACAGAGTATGAAATAATTTGAAATTGAGATGGCTTTAAGCTGCATTTGTATAATCTTATTCATATTTTCCGTCTTAATTTACTTACAGCCGAAGTCAATGTGAACGAGAGTCCCGTCCATTTGACACTCTGTGATACCGCCGGCCAGGATACGCTGGATCCTTTGAGGGAACTGTGCTATCCGGACAGCGACGTCTTTCTGCTGTGCTTCTCGGTGGTCAAGCCCGAAACATTTGGGGCCATCAAATCGAAATGGGCGCCCAAATTTGCCAAAACAAAGGCGGCCCTCATATTGGTTGGGACCCAAGCTGACTTGAGGAGCAATTTGAATGTGTTGAACAAATTGCAGGTGAGTTTTATTATTCTTTTTGGGGCGGGTGTTTATTTGGTTTATTTGTGCGCCTGAGTTCATGCTTGACTTCATTCATGTGTGTGCGTGTGTGGCTATAGCAAATTTGTTGAAATATTTATGATATTCTTATTTGATTTCATATGTGCTTCGGGCGTGCCGCGTTACCCATGGATGAGCAGACAAATGGCGAGAAACCAATTTCATATGCAGACGCCTGGGATTTGGCAACAACAATTGGCGCCAAATACATTGAGACTTCCTCAGCCACACAGGTAAGTTCCGGTTGCCATGTTGGATGTTCACATGTTCAAATGTTCAGATGTTCAGATGTTGCCCCGACACGTGGGCCCGCCATCATATTAATTAAAGCAGCGGCAGACGGCGACTGCCCCACAAAGTCATTGCACCACCAGCAGCAACAACAACACTAACGACAACAACAACAACAGCAACAACAACAACACTAACAAAAACAACAACATCAACAATAACAACAACAAGTTATATTCAGCAAATCCTTTGGGCTGTCGCTGTCTGTATGCAAACACTTAAAAAAGGAAAAAATTTTTGCAGAATGCTGACGCTTGGGAGACGTTTGCCTTTGAGGCAATATGCCACACGGTGCTCTTCTCAGCCAACAAGCATGCACACTTATACACACACGCACACACACACACCCACACACACTCACCCACACACACATACACACACGTATACAATAATCATAATTGTGCGGTTTTCGGGCTGGTTACTGTTAACGTTAAACCAACTGCCTGGCAATGCTGGTAATGTTCCGCCGTTGCCAGATTGCCAACACTTCCAGCGTGTGCTAAGTGCGAAGCAAAGCCACCTTCTTTCTTTCATACATATATACATCTATATATATATGTATATATATATGTGTGTATTTTTTTTTGTCAGCCGTGCATTGCACTCGTCGCAGCCAAAGGAGGCGCTAATGCTGACGACTCTGACTTCGTAAGGAGCAGCCATCCTGTTGTGTGTACCCTATATAGCCCACAAAATGTGCCTGGCACAAAGTTGGTTATAAAATCAATAAATACGTTGTTCGCTCCAAAATAAAATGCATATGAGAGTTATGTTAGTTTTAATGCATTTGCGACCACATTGAAAGTGGGTGGACAAAAATATTCGGACGGAAAATGAGTTTGTTTATTTATTGTCTTTGATAGTTTCTTCGCAGTGAAATACATACTTCTTTCATATGAAGGCTACTAATAAAAAGATCGATTAATGCTTTTATAGTTTACATTAATCAATAAATATGCTTATTTGTCTTTCCCTAAACCAGGACAAAGTCAAAGACGTGTTTGATACAGCCATTTGGGAGGGCTTGGTGCCCACCACGTTGCCGCCCACGCCCTCGTTCTGGAAGAAGCTCTTTTGCCTGGCCTGAAGGTGCTGAGCGAAACAAAAATTTGCAACTCGAAAAGAAAAGAACACTCAACAAATATTATTACTTACGATTTTTTTTTTTTTAATATATATATATTTTTTTTAGCTAGTTTCTGCGCATATTTATATTTGTAGTTCAGGGCTACCTTATTATACACATTATTGAGAACTTTTTAATATAACAGATATACATATATTTTTATATATATATATATAGATATTTGTTCGACAGTGCTATCAAGTTTTTTTTTGCACGCGCACTCACTGACTGATCTAATGATAAATATAAATATAATAAAGAGATATGTTAAAATGATTATTCCAAAATTATTTACAATTAAGTTACATTCGCATCTGCTTTGCTCGCAAACGACATTTCTTATTATTTTTATTTTATTTTTATTTTTATTTTTTTTTTGAACTTTATAATTATTCTTATTTAATTGTGTAATTTTGTGTAGCAACTGTTTCGATTTTCGCGATTGTTTTTAATTTTAGTTGCTGAAATATTTATTTTTTCTTGGACTCTTGAGAGCTCTGATTAAAACTGAATATGAAAGCGCAAACCAACTGATGTTACGTCATTCCATCCATTTAAGCATTAAGTTTTATATCCTTAAAATACATATAGTATGTCGATAGCAAAGCCAACAAAAAATATTAATAATAATAACAAAAACGATGGAAAAAAAATATAAAAACTTTAATTATGCAAATTTTCTCTTTTTTTACATGCACTGAAAATGTTGGACATTTTGTAGAGTAAGTGTTCTCAATATTTTTCTATAACATAATTCTAACGCTTTAAACGATTTTCGATTTGAACTAAAATTTGAATTTTTAATTGTAAGTTAGAATTTACTAAAGATACTTGAATTTTATATATTTCAAATATTTTAAATGTCTGTAATTCGCTTTATTAACGCCCGTTCTTAGTGAGATCAAATTGATTGCAATCAAAAATGTTCGATTTAATTTTTGTAGTGCTCAATGTTAAGGAAAATCTGCATGATTCGATGAAAATATATCGATCAAAAACCGGGCTTAATATGCCCGAGTTTTAATAGCTCAAACATTTCGAAAAACCCCAAATCGGGTTTTTAATTGAAATTTTTCTGGCATAAAATGAGTATTTTATACATATTGGTGCAGTCTCGTGTTAGTTTTTAAACGGCTCTAAAGCTACTTAGGTGTTGCGCGATAGAATGTCTACTTCGTTTTTTTTTTTTCTTTTCTTTTGCGTCATAATTTGCATGACTAATGCCTTCTGCTTAAACCATAAGCGTCGACAAAGTGCCAGCAAAAAGAATAATAATAGATGCCGTAGGATGGAAGAGCAAAATCAACAAAAACAACATTAGCGCAGACTTTTGGAAAAGCAAACAAAACCGCGGCGCTTAACAAAACCAAAACACACGCACTCTCAGTCAGACACGCACACACACACACACACAGACACACAGATATATATATATACACGCACACGCACACCGCCAGCCGATGCGATGAAACTTGAGCGAAAAGTTAAGCGGAGCTTGTCAAGTTTTTGCAGCGTGCACCAAAAACGTAAAATGAATTTTGTCGTGGCAGGAATGTCAGACTGCATGTATATATATGTATGTATGCAGCATGCAGCTTACAGTTTGCAGCTTACAGCTTGCAACTTCATTTTTGGCATCAAGTGTTTTGTTGACATTGATGCCTTGATTGCAGCTACAGTTGGCAGCCACCAGGAACAGCAACAGCAACAGTAACAGACGCACATCAGACTCTATGCCCCTCTTCCGCTGCCTGTCTCTTCGACTCTCTGTTTTAAGTAAAGGGCTACGAAATTGAAATATTAATGCCGGGCCGACAGTTAACAACTTCGGTGACAGTACAGCAAGCTGCCGTCCAAGTGCAGTGTAAACATTTTGCACATTGTCTCGACATGGCTTCAGCGTGCCAGGGGCAGTGTATTGGGGGCGTGGGCATGGGCGGTCTGGGTCATGGGTATGCCAAATCCTGACTGCAAACAGTTAATGCAACTGTCGACAGCAGCACCAAGAGCCAAAGTAGCATACATAACAGCAACAACAAGAAAAGCAGCTACAGCTTACGAGAGACTCGTTCAAGTTGAAAATAGTTTCGTTTTTTAATAGTAAATTTTGTACATATTTATGGCATTTAGTACACTGGGAAAAACAATGCCCATGAAATTACGCTTACATGTGACTTGCCTGGCTTAATATAAATAAATATGTTAAACCCATTTGGCTTATGCTTCTCCAAGCTTAAAATAACTCAATGTAATAAACGGGAATATCAACGAATAGCATTGTTTTTGAACTTTTTGACCTTGAAGTAGAATTAATTATTCTTGTAGAAAGAGTTGACGGAACCTATTTTAAATTGTCGGGCATTAAAAGTTATTCTCTTTCCTTTAAAAATGCATAAAATGGGGAATAATAGTTAAGCAGAAGAAAGCATCTTTAAGTATTTATCAAAGCGATGAGCTGAATAAATCTAGGTTTGCCCGTATCTATGAAACTTAAGGCCGAAAACTTTATATTGATAATATTTATTTTCGTATATCAGACGGAAAACAAGCTGAACTTATTTTTCATTTCAATTCCTTAATATTAACAAATATCGATTTAAAAGTTTTGTAATTTTAACTTTTAAGTTGATTTGCGCTTTGTGGAATACTTCAATTATGAATATGAGGTACTTGTACTGCGTAGTTCAGCTCTCTGTAAATATATACCTGTGTGTAGGCAATAAATCTAGAGTTTACTTTTCGTAAACGTCAAATCATAAGCCTTTCGGGCATGTCGAACGCATTGCGTTGCCATAATTTGTATCTTGCATCCGTACCCATGCCCAGACAGCCCTGTCCGCTCACAATTCTGTGATGGGCCACCCGAAAAGCACTTAACAGCATTGCGGAGACGTCGTCGCAGCCGTCGCTTTATTAGGCCAAAAAATAAATCAATAGCCCAAGAAAGAACATGGTCATGTCATGTTGAAAATTTATAGCTTTGCCACTTACGTGTGTGTCCAGCCCTAGAAGAAGCATCGACATCTGCGCCATAAATAAACAATTTTTTGTACAAATTACTTGCAAGTAAATGTGCAAATTTCGCATACGCAGCGTTGTCCGGCCCCCAACAAATCAGCCTATTATTTATTTTAATACATTCTCTAAATTAGTGTGCATTTTATGGCGTCCTTACGAAACATGGAAAGCTTTAACAACTTACTATAAATACTTAACATATCTATGACATTTATAAATTAAAGCTTATAATTATTTCATAAAAAAGATTTAACTTGCACAAAATACTTCGTTCATTACAAAAATTAAAAAATGATATTTCTTATATGATTATATTATTAAAATATGATTTAATTATATTATATTATTTATATGCTATTTAACTAATTAAAGTCACTCGAGCCACGCGATTGCCGTTTATTAAAATGTTTAAAGTTAAGCATATTTTACTGCCAGTCACACAATTTAAATTGAACGAACATAGTAAAATATTGAAGCAGCATAGAGAATTTGGACAAATCTGATGCTGAGTATGTCAGCAGAAACCATATATGTTTAATCGTATGGCGGTCGCATGTGACTGTAACGCATAACTGAATGTATTCAGCGTATTCCTCTGACGCAGCACAAAACAAATGGAAGCCAGACAATGAAAATAAGGAAATGTGACGGCAAATGAATGAAAGGCGAAATCAATTCGAGTTTATAATGAAAAATGCTACCAACCACATGCAGCGTGATCAGTGGGGTAAAGCTAGAGCTGTGAAATTCGGTTGAATAGAGTTTTTCTTTGCCTTTCACAAATTTTCTTGGTTTTTTTTTTTTTTACTTGTGAGCCAACTCTTTGTTTGCTACGTGCTCATAAAACCCACAGTTGAAGCGAGCAAAACGACCGATTTCAGCACGCGGCTATTTATGTGGGTCATTCACGCGAAAGGGATGCGATCCCAGACCCACCAATTTCGCCATCGTCCGACCGCCTGCACCCGTGTCCTTAGTAACTGTGTCTGTATGTGTGTGTGTGTGTGTGTGTGTGTGTAATTTACTTAGAAATAGATACAGATACTCTTGCTGGGAGCAGACATGCGAGTCTAAAGCAGAAGCAAAAGCAAAAGCAGACTCTGACACACATGTAAACGCCGCTACTTGAACCCTTGATTGCGGTGGTGACGGTCGCCCATTGTTCGCCTAGGAGCTTGGACTAAAACTTATAATCATAGCATCATCAACAAAATTATCGTTTTGCCACAGCACGGAATGACTGTAAAGGCGGGACAGTGGGTAAGTGTAAGCTGGCGAGGGGCGAGAGTGAGGGCACGGAGAGAGGCATCGCACAGATACACTCGCCATTTAAGAGCATAAAAGCGAAACGTGCTTGAAATGTGAATTACTCGCACTTATACACACACACGCTCACACACACGCACACACATTCAACTGATGTACTTAAAGTGTTTGAGTATATATATGTGTGTGTGTGCGTGTGTGTGTTCGCGTGTAAGTCGCTTTTTGCTCTTTGGCTCCTTTGACTCATAACTTTAACTATTTTACACGAACGAACGAACATTTACTTTACTTTTTTCCCAGCACGCTTTTCTTTTATTTACTTATTTTAGTGCTTACTTCCGTTCACGTACACAGCCAGCACCCACACCTACTCACACACACACACACACACACACACACACGCCATTAAAAAGGCGCACCCACAATTTTTTAGCAAATTAACAAGCCAGCCGCAGTCTGCTGCGGTTTTCCGATTAGCGAAATTCCGGTATCTAAAGTCCGCTACAGATTCAAATCACTGGCTAAATGAAAGATTTAATTGTTTTGCTGTGTAGAATTATACATTTTTGAAAGAACCAAATGAACCAAACAAGTTAAGCTGCTTAGGTCGGTTCTGCTCGACCAAGAAATACCGACTACCTACTCACGGACTAGCCAATAGATACAACAATATTTAAATAAAAAACGCGATTATCAAAACTATAAATTAAAGTACATTTTGAAAAAATAAAACTTGCATGGTTTTTGTCGAATTGTCCTAAAAAATATCTGAAAGTTAGAGAAGCGATGGAAACGACTTTAGCTACAAAAGTATCTATACGATACAAAGCATTTGTGGTAAACAAAAGTTTCTGCAAGTTGCACAAGCATAGCTTGAACCATTTTTAAAAATACAATAAAAAGATTTTAGCACATTTTACTCTTAATGTGCACAAGTGCAAACGGATGGAATAATTTCATGCTGGGTTTCAAAAGAGTTTTCTACCAAGATAATTAGACAATCGATGCCAATTATCTATAACAATTACAACGAATTACGATGAATAATTGCAATCAAATGGCGCGGCCATATCCTCTTATTTCACTTTGTGTAGCCGTGTATGTGTGTGTGCTTGTGTTTCTGTTGCTGTGCGGCCCCAACAATAATTTCGTTTAATTTCAGCACGCACGCCTTGCGAAGGCTGCAAATACTTCAACTGTGGGCGTTCGTGGGTGGGTGTGTGTGGGTGAGTGTGGGTGGGCGGATGTGGGTGGTTGCCTGCGTATGTTCCTCCCCTGGACTTTTGCAGCCGAAAACCCTTTTGCGCTAATTGCAATTACACAAAATATTGTTTACACACTTGCTCAAGCCACAACGTTCAATAACATTCGTGGTGCAAGTGTGTGAATGAGAGAGAAGTCGAATGAACAGGAGACGGCATGAAAATGATATGGGGCTGTAGATAATACAGCATAATCAGAGCTTAATTATTTAAATAATGGCTTATTTTTTTTTAAATAAAAATTTTTTATTTTTCGACCAAACAAGCAATTGCGTAAAAACCATATAATCTGAGCACTACCAGATGCGGCTCTATACAAGTATGTTAAGAGTATGGAAGATGGGCATAGCTCGCACCCAATATACTCATTATTTCCTTGTGAGCAGGATATAAAAACATGGCCCGGATTAATAGAATGCATTTATAAATGCTGTTTTTTATATATGCTTGCATATATATATGTATATTTTTATGTACGTCCCAGTGTAACTCTATGTAAGATCCTAGAAAGGGCTTTCATGCCCTCGTAAGGTATTACTTAGCGGTCGTGCCGCGAGAAGGAAAAGGAGATCAAGTTTACCTTCCGCCGCATTAAAAATTAAAAATAACGCATTTTTAACGTTGCCCTTCTACTCGATTCTCATAAATTCAAGTAGGGCTCAGAGGTTTCTATGCTTTTTTAGTTAGTGCTCTTTTGTGTGAGTTGTGCTTTTGTGGTGTATGTGTGTATGTTGTGGGCATGTGTGTTGTGTGTGGGCGTGTGTGTGTTTGTTCTGTGATTGTGTGGTTACAAATCAAAGTCGTAAACCGAATGCCTGATTGCTCACTTCTCTACCTAAGGTTTATTTCGCAACTCAACGTTGAGCCCTATATACGCCTGTTTTTATTGGCAGCTGATTTCTTGTCACAATTCTCAAAGAGTTGTTCAAACTTCAAAGCGCAGCTTTTCCAACTTATTGTAGGCAGTCGTTAAATACACACAAAACATATTTCCATATATGTGTGTTGTCTTTCGTAAGCAACTGGGTAAATGGCCTTGAGATATGCGGCTACATACATACACATGTGCATATATTCTCAAATGCTTGCATATTCAACTGTTATTTGTACAATCAGCTCGTACTGCCCTTCGTTCCCCACCGATCCCCAACATTCATCGATAAGCTTTTCTCGGCTTTTAGTTTTCACAGTCATATGCCCAAACCAACAGCAACGGCAACAACAACAACAGCAACAGGAACAGAATGCAATAAAGCAAACATCAAAGCGGGCATGAATTTCAAATGGACTCAAAATTTATGCAAAGCCGAGTGAGAAATAAAAAGGCATGTCCCAATTGCCATCAGGGGGATATGGAAATATGAAGATATAGAAGGATAAGTGGGACATAGATATGGGATCAAGCATCATAATTTTAATGCCAGGAGTCGGCACGAAGCGTGTCTAGCTAAAAAATGGAAATAAATAGAAATTGGCATGCAAATTAGATATTTATATAATTTTTGTCTTACCCTATTTATGTTTTGACTGCCATAAATTTCCATAAATGCGTAAAGGTAATCAGCAAACGAGTTGATAAAGTTGATTAAATGCAAACTGTCCAAAAACTTCAATCAGTGGGCAACTTGCCCAATTCGTAGTTGCTCTTTTTTCTCCTGCATCTCTCTCTCTCTCTCTCTCTCTCTCTCTCTGTCTCTATCTCTGTTTATCTCTTAGTAGTGTTCATGTGCCGAGTCCCACAAAACAGATTGAAAAACTTTAACAAAACACAAACACGAAAGCGAAAAAGCAAACCACACCACATGGACGGACTGCATTTGACGCAGACGGAGTTCGGAGTGGGATCGAATTCAGGGATGGCAAACGATTTCTTAAGTAACCAATTAATATTTATATATATATAACATTTTTAAAAAAATGTTGTTAATATCTAATTTAGTGCAATGCAAGGAGAAGAAACGAGATCCCAGTTTTAAAGCAAAATGAGCGAGAGGTAATCACATTGTAGTCTGTATATACGATATGTGATGATCCTATAATTATGTATAATTATAAGTGTGTAGCCTATAACATAGTATGAAACAGGATATAGAAATCGATTAATATCGTTCTGCCATTCTATATGCAGGACCTGTATATATTTGCTTATGGATTTGATTAAGAATATATATATTTAAAATATAAGATAAAAAGACAAACACGATTGGATTGACGTAGTCGGACAACTCTCTTCCACCTGTAACATACTGTTACATACTAGTACAAAATATAATTAAAGACGAGCATAATTTTTAATAACTTGTAGTCACTTGGCAGGCCCGATTTGACTCTAACATTTATATGTTTCGTCCCTTGCGGCCAACATTGCCAAAAATGTTGATTGAAAATTTTATTTCGAGAGTATTGAGATGATTTATTTTATTAATGCGAACTGAGATCGAAAAGCTAACAATAAATTAAAATAAACTTGAATAATAATAAATATGATAAAAATTAAAATTATAAGTAGTTTTATACTTATAAAAATATACCTTCAATGCGAATTAGTTGATCAAAAACTCAAGCACCTTATTGTCCATTGTAGACACATTTACGAAGAGTTTGGCAATATAAGTGATATTTTCATGTTAAATCTGACACGTGAGACATTCGTATTTTTTACACTTGAATAAATATAATCTTTTTCATTAGAATTGAGAACCCCAACCCTGAGTCGTTACGCAGACTTATGTAAATGCTGTACTCTTACTCAGTTTTTATTTTTAGGCTCGCTTCCAACCCTAGTCAAGTGGCACGGGCTGTGGCAGTTGCCGAGTCGAGTCGAGAGCAAACCCAGACGTATGTCGAGGGTCAAACAAATACGAATTCAAAATGCTCAGCGCTGAACAACATATTGCAAAAGTTATGAGCCGGAAATTAAACGGATGCTGACAATATTCACTGGTCCGGCTGATGGGGCGCATACATATCGTAGACGTGAACGTGAACGAAAACGTGGACGGGAACGTGAACGTGGACGTGAACGTGATGCGTACGTGACATGATGGTAGCCAAAGCCCGCTCAGGCCCAATTAGCTGGCAGCACTGCAATTGAAACAATAACAACTGAATCTCAGTTTATCGGCAACTGTTTTGCTGCCGCTCGTCAATTGCTATTGTTTTATAAAAGCAGTGCGATGCATTTATGCTTAGCTAAACGGCCGGCAGTGGCCGTATGCCGAGCATGGCCGAGGAAAAGCACCGCATGCTCTACCAGGGCCAAGACCCCAGCCAGCCAGTGTTGCGTCCCTTCCCGATAATAGCCCACGTCAGCAACAGCAGCAGCGATAGAGATGCAAGCGTCGATGCTGCAACTGAGCCGCAACAGCCTCCGACCTACGATGACGCCATGGGCACTACGACTAGTCTGCGTGTATCAAAAACTAAAAACCACGCTCCCAGCCATACGAGCTCCACGATGCGGGCGACATGCGACGGGGAAGGTCGTCGTAGGACCTTCTTTGCCGAGCCACTGCATCTGCGCACCCAACTGGATGAGCCGCATCCGCTAGAGGCGCAGCCTGCACAGCCGCTGTCAGCTGAGCACCCCGCCGTTGAGCTACAAGCGGCGCCCACGGACAATGCAAATGTGCAGGCAATGCCACAGCAGCAGCAGCAGCAACAGCAGCAGCAATCTGTGCTGGTGGAACGCGTCCGCATGCCGCAGGTGCGCAGTAAGTAGAATGGCCCGAGTTCCATTTAATACACGGAATCTCATCTGATCTGCTGGCGTTTGGCAGGTTTCTTTGCACTGGCGCCACAGCCGAAACTGGGTGCCAAGGCCTGTGCGATGGTCTGCCCCGCCTGTGGCCAACAGGGACGCACTAGGCTAAGGCGCATGCCGAACACACGCACCCATTGCTGGGCGCTCTGGCTCTGTTCCATTGGGTGAGTGAGATGAGACCCTCGGAAGTGGTTGTGTGCGTGTGTGTGTATGTTCGTATTTGTCATAGCTTAACAATTTGCTGAATGGTATGCCAGGTGGTGCTGCTGCGCCTGTCTGTATCCGTATCTGATGAATAGCTGCCGCACCACGAGCCACTACTGCGCCATATGCAAGACGTTTCTGGGCGCCCACTATCCCAAGGATTGTTGCCACTGAGCCGCTGCCATTGCGTCGCGTTCTAGCTTTACAAACTTACCTATTGTAAATTTCGATTGTTGAAAGTTTGTTTCGAGCAACACAAAACGAAAATAAGTTTACAATATCCTAACGTTTGTAAAAGATATTTCTTACCTTGAGCGAAAGAATATTTGACATTCTTTTAGTTCGTAAATTAATAAACAAATAGGCATCAATTGCATTCCTTAAAACATGTCACGTAAATATTATGAAAATATGTGAGTTCTTTTAGAAATTGCTTGCCGTTACGCTTCTTATGAAAAATAATGTGTTTTAAAACGTTACCCATCTATGCGATTCTCAAAAATTCAAGTAGGGCTCACAGGCTGAATGCTTTATTTACAAGTATAATAATATCTAATAATCGGTATGTTTTAAAATGTATTTATATGCTTAAATGCGTATGTATCTATGTGTGTATATGCATATGTATAGACATACATTTAAGCATATATTTTTTTATAAAACGACACACAGATAAAGTTTACTTTCGACTGCACATTAAAAATAACACATTATTCATGAATATTTATTTATTTTTTTTCATGAATTCAAATAAGGCTCACAGATTTTCATGCATTACTAATAATTGCAGATGCAGAATCGCATGCTTGACCTCCTCAGCACGCTTCTCTCAAAAAGAGCACCCTCAGGATTCTGTGCTGGAACGCGGGCGGCGTTCCAGCCAAAATCCACAAGTTTCAAATCGATATGCAGCTCCAGAAGGTAGATATTGCACTCATGGGCGATCTGGAGACTTATCGCATTCCTGGTTATTCTTCCTACCCCACCCCGCCCAACGACGCGGAGCTAGCGCCGCAATACTCATCCGCAGTGGTATCTCGCACTTTCCCACCGCCCTCCAACGCGAAGCCGACCTGCAATTGGCCTCTGCAATAGTTTGCTGGATACGTCGAGTTTGGGGCCATAAACTGTCAGCCCGGCCTCAGATAGACTGTCAACGACCTCTGTCAGCGTTTCAGCACCCTTGATCCAAAATGCTTACTGGGCGGTGATTGGAACGCACACCACCAGCTTTGGGGGACGAGCCGCAGCAACGCCAGGGGACGTGAGCTCACCGAATTCAAGCACGACGCTCGACTTGAATGTTTAGCCATTGGCGGCCCCACGAAATTCCCACCCCAGGCAGGCCTCAGACCTCAGAATAAACAGGGGTCTCCCACACTGGAGGCTCAGAATTAAAGCTCGCCCTGACCTGAGCCACTGATGATATCTATCAACACCGCTGCCAGATACTACCCAAGGCTGGAAAGGATCATCGACAGGCAAACCAATATCAATGTCTTTCGCCGCAAGCGTAACGATACCATCTACCCAGACATGGATATAGCTTCCGCAGGGATATTGCCGATGGTTTCACCGGACAGGTGCGGACTGCAGCAGCTAAGTGTCCTCCATATATACAAACTCTCGCCGGACCTGATAATTTTACTAAGGGAAAAAGAAACACTAGAATATCCGCCGATAAGGCGAACTGGCTCAGAAAAGCTGGCGAATTGCATCGGGAGCTACAAGCGCTAGTCACTTTGACAACATGCTGATGAGCATGTCGTCCACATAACGTGGAATTCTCGCTGTGGAAGGCGACACGCGGCACTGACCAACTTATGGGGCAGGCACTCCTCAAAAGAAGGAACGGCTCCTGGAGCCGCTCGGAAGCAGACGTTAAAGGGACGTTAAAGCGACGTTAGACTGGAATTTGATCGTAACACTTAGGGCTGCTGACAAAACTGAATCCCGGTCTGCCCTCGCCCTTCATCCTGATCCGATGCTGCTTGGAGGGTCGTTCTTTCAGGGTGAGAGTAAGGGTGGAGCAGTACTTCCTGCAATCTTTTCAAAACCGCCGGATAGCAGGAGCACCATTTTACGTGCCCAACATCGTCCTTTACAGAGATCTAAAGATCGCCTGGGTCGAAGGCTAGAGACACATTCCAATAGGCTCGCACGCATTCTTCAGGGTGCCCGTCCCATCAGGAGATTAAGAAGAAGAACTCTTACCCAGATACTCCACCCCAACTCCGTTCACCCATCCCCAGGGCGACGCGGTCAAAAAACTAATAATTGGGTATGTATATATATATCTATATACATATATGTATGTTCATGTATGTATGTGCGTAGGTATGCATCTTTGTATATATGTATCTACTTATGTATATAGGTATTTATGCAAATACGTGTGTGTATATGGAAATAAAAGTGTGTGGATGTATGGATGTATGTATGTGCCTATGTATGTATGTATGTATGTGTGTATGCAAATATGTATGTATACATGCATGTTTTATTGTACCAAACGAAACTCTAGTTTACTTTCCGATGTAGCGCGAATTAAAAATAAAGGATTTTTAACGATGCCCTACTACTCGATTCTCATAAATTAAAGTAAGGCTTACAGGTTTCCATATTTTTTAGTAAGTGTTCTAATAAAAAGTTCTGGTGTCAATCTAATAAAGGTAATGTGGGTATGCATGCATGCATGCATGCATGTATGCATGTATGCATGCATGTATGTATGTATGCATGTATGTATGTATGCTTGTATGTATGTATGCATGTACATATGTAAATATGTATGTAAATATACATGCATGTATGTTTATATGTATTTATATGGGTATGCATGTTTGTATGTACGTAGTGAATATGTGGATGTGTGCTTGTGCGTATGAGCATACATGCATGCACGTTCATTAACCAAAAGCAATTTTTGTTTCTAATATATATTTATTTGTTAATTTCGAAACAATTAGTTTAACAGGTTAGACCTATATACATATATACACAGAAACATATTTAGAGGTGTTTAATGCAGTTTGTTACCTTTACATATCGATCGACTAGGTCAGTTGGATAGGTCCGCTTCAGTCGCCTTCTTCTTCGCCTCCTAAACCATAAGCAAATAATGTTAGTTTCGACTGTACGGTAAATTAAAAATAACATTTTTAATTACTTTCCGACTACGCGAATCTCATAAATTCAAGTAAGTCTTCCAGCTTCATGCTTTGCAGTCATATAAATTTAATCTCATGCACTCTATGTCTCTATCTCCTTCTTTCTCTTGCTTTGACACAAATCTAATTTCTACTTATTTTCTTCTTTCAGTGATGTGCAATGTAAAGGATGGCACTAAAATTATCGTGCATATGCATGGGAACTTTTGGGTGAGTACAGATTACCATATATATATATATATATATAACTATGTGGACGTAATAAAAATTCATACACATAGTTATGACACAAAATTAAAAAAATATCCTCGTTTCCCTGGTGCCATTGCTGTCACTTTGTCTACAGTGACTGGGCATTGTGTGAGATGACTTACCAAAGCTGCTTACCATTACTGTCATTCACGCCCTTAAAAGTGCACTACAATCCGATGATTACAAAGAGTGGCCCACAAAAAAGCCTCGGTCCAGAGCTGGGATGTGCGATTCGCTTATTGAAACTAATAGGAGTCAAAATTTGTGGCCACCCCCCTGTAAAATCGTCTGGCAGTAAATTGAATTTGGCAGGAAGTGAAGTGCTCAACGCGTTTTCTCATCATTCTCTGCTGCCATGTCAAACAATGCATAGCTTGCCTAAACAAATTGCCTAATCAGCGCTGCGGGACCGAGTCAATTATGTGAGTGGCACTTCCATTGTACACTGTTGAGTTGGACGATGTTGCAAAGTTTTTGCGCCGGCAAATGCACTTAATGCCCCATTGCAAACAAACCGCTTGGCCCCCCTACAGACGATCCTTTTTGCATTGAAAAGGCATTCACTTGCACGTCCAATTAGCTGGGCTCCATTTGCAGCTACTCAATCAAGGACAACCAGTTATTGGGCAACAATTCATATCCGCCTCCAACACTCGCTTCCGGCTGGCAATGCAATTGCCAAAAAAAAAAAAAATGAATTAAAAAAAAAACAAGAAAAAAATACAGTCCATTAGCTCACCGAGTGCCATAGGCATAATTAGAGCTTTAAGCGCATTATGGTTGACCTAACAGTCGGGCCTGGTATGAATGTGGCATGAGCTGCCGATGAAGGCAATCACAGCAAGAATACGCAACGCTTCATATAAGAACTGTATCTGAAAGCGGACCGCAACGGGGACTTCATCATCATAATAATAATATATAATGCGATAACAATGAAAACGAGCTGCCATCAACACGACAAGCAACAGCAACAACAACAACATCGATAACAATAAAAACGAGAGCAGAAACAAAAACAATCGACTGCAACAAAAGCTCAAGAGCTGCGTTTCAGCGTGCGGCAAATAAGTTGGCAACTTTAATTAGATTAACTTGCTGGGCGCACATAAATATCAATAGTACTTCAAGCGCGAGACTCAACAACCAATATTGTTGTTGTAGTTGTTGTAGTTGTTGTTGTAGTCGCTAACAAGCTGCCACACAGATGCGCATACAAATAGGTTGCCCCGTCGCATAACTAAGCTCAACATTTGGCCATGCCAAAAAATAACACAAATATGCTGGCATCTAGCAGTAAGTGGGCGTCACAACCTTAAGAATAGCCTGCACCCATTAAATATGTACTAGTACAGAATCAGTTATAATTGACATGTGCATGTTTAATGAGAAACAATTTTAAAATTCCGGCCTCCTATCAAATACGACATACATAGACAATGATACCCTGTGGATATATGGATTTTAAAACAGGCATTTTATATGATTCGAATGCCAATTTCGTTCTCGTCTAATATAGATAGATTTCGAAAACTTCATTTCTTACAAGCCCCGAAAAATATTTATTTTCTTAGAGATTAAGATATGCTCACCGCTCTGTGATGCAAATAGACAGATGACATATTTAAACCTTTCGAAGCGAATCCTAAATATAGCTTATAAATATTGTCTAATTCCGTACTAATGCATCGGAGTTGCTCAATGCATCGCGCTGAATAGTTATGCGACCATTCATCCTCTCAAATAATTGGATACAGCCACTTAACATTTACTTATCTTAACATATCCGTATGACATTATTTTTTTTTGTTTCAGAAAATATTTTTTTATATATTTTTCAATTATTGCAATCAGAATCTTTGAGTATGAGGTATTTTGCAATATTTAATCATTATTAAACACATTAAGCAGGGCCAGATATATTAAAACATTTAAATTTCTACAGTAGTTTCATAAGTATACTTATATGATGGGGCTTTGATTTTTATCCACCTAAGTAACTTTGGGCTTGTCTTGTCAATAACTTAACTTAAATTAATGAATGAGTTCGAAAATCCTTGAATATAGAGGAAAGGTGTATCTTCATTTTCATTCGATCAACTTAAAGTTAATGTCAAAAGATCAAATCTGGAATGTTGCCGATTACAGAAAACCCATTTAGCAGATATTAATGCAAATTTTAATTTGTTCACGGACTGAGAATATATAGATATATATAAAATGTAGACACAAAAACTTGTTCCGGTCATAGCCAAGTAGTACTCAGATATTTGCATGCCTTAAGCGCTGTTAGAATTAATCTTCGCCTTTTCAAAGAGTGTCCTTAGTTAGCTTTGGGCCAATAGATTGAGATACTTTTGCATCTATATATGCGCGTGTTGTTAATATTCAACTGCTCAGCACTGTGACCACGAAAGATACTGAAACATTTTATATGCTGCAGTAAATAAGCTCACATATATATATATATATATATATATATATATATACTGCTGGCATATTGACATTAGGCGGCGTGCGTGGGCGTCCTTTTTCTCCAAAAATTGTCAATTTTTGGCGGCAAATGTTTGCACAACATATTTACGGATATTTGCGGCGTGTTGATTTGTTGATTATGGCCAGCGATGCGTGAACAGCGGGACGAAGCCAGCGACAGAAGCAGACGTCGAATTAGAGCGTAAGCGGATGCAGATACAAATGTATCTTGAAAAGCAAGCGAATGGCTAATCAAATTAGCAGCCAAACCAATTGCAAATATTTTAATTGCTGTTGACGCGAGGACGACGAACGGAAAATGGAGAAGAGTGCAATAACTTCGAGTAACCGCCGCAGTGGCCGCCAATTGGCAGTGAGTGCTAACGTTAAACGGACGACTGCCAACTGCTGAGGCAGTAGCTGGTTACTGTGAAACTGGTAACTGTTGCGGCCAGGATGTGCAAAAGGACGTCAGTCAAATGGCGAAATGGCCAAATGGCTGACGAAGTCGGCACGTAGCACGGCAAATGAACTGAGGCGCGCTCGTCCTTAGTCCTCCGGCCAGCACAACTCGAGTTCACATAGCGCACCGATATCCATATCGAATTGTCTGCCGTTGAATGGCTTGTATTGGTGCCGGCGCAGGCGCCGTACAAGCCACTGGCGAGGAGACGCTTCATTCACTAAAAAACACACAAACCGTTCGGCTGCGGGACGAATGTTAGTCACGAAATACGCCGAGTGCGAATCCAAAGGCTATATGTTAACTGGCATCGCACTTGGTTGGCTCAATAGCGCCTCGCACGTTGGCCGCGCAACAACACGTCGCGTCTAGTGTTCCCAGCTGCAATTGTGTCCTGGCTCTTGGCCGTCAACGCCGGCGTGCGAATCGCGTCGATTGTGTCGATCCGCAGTCGCTAAGCTCAAGTCGAAGTCAAGTCGTGTCCGATACATATCCAAAGCATATCCATACGCTTCTATACACTCACGCATTATTTTTCTTGTTTTTGTTTGCGTTCTTTTGTTGTGGTCGCAGTTGCCGCTTGATGGCCGCTCGGGTAGTCCAAAGTCAAGTACAGTGAGTGCTGTCTGTGTGCGTACGCAATAGCAACACCAACACCAACACCAACACCACCAACAACACCACCAACAACACCAACATCATCAACAACAACCACAACATCAACAAAAATAATAATATTCACAATCGTAGTCGTTGTCGCTGTTGGCTGCTGCCGCGTTATTTCCGTTTCCGTCTGCCGCTCTTTGCGCTTATCCTGCAATTACTTAAGAGTCTCGGCTGTCGGAGCCGGCAGCCAGAAGACGCTCACCGAGGTGGCAGCGGTAACACCATGCCCGCTCAGACGTTGCCCAAACGGCGGACGCTCCTTCCCTATCCGCTACTGCTGCTGCTGCTTTTATTCGCGGCCAGTCAACCCGCCAAGGCGGCCGGAAATGATGCGATTTCCGCTGCCAGCGGTCGTCGCCATATCCAGTCCGAGGCGCCATTCCTCACGCGGATGAAACGTGACGCCAGGAGCAAGGAGGCCATCACCGATGAGGACGCTGCAGCTGCCTCAATGCAGTCGCAGCAGCAGCCGCAAGAGCCCTTGGATTTTTCAGCCTATGTGAATGGTAAGCAGATCGTAAATAATTTGCAACTTTTAAATGTCTTCGATGCCACAAAATCAAATTTTAGTTTGTTTAACGAGTGCCTCAAAAGAGAATACTCCAAATTACAGTGCATCACTGCTCCAATATGCAACTACAGTTAATAATACTGAGAAATATAAATAAAAATGAAAAACTGTTTTGCATGCACGTAAGCAAACTGAATAAGTTGTAAATCATTTAATTAACTCCATCATACTGCTGTTGGTCGGTCTCCCTGGTATATTGCCCACTTAGCTGTAATAAATCATTCATTAGCAAAGGTTCAAAATATTTTGCTAAAAACAAAAACATTTTCGTATTTAGCCATCACATTTTCATATAACTTTAGTACTCACTTATTTTACAAATCGACACTCATTCTCATTTGATAAATTAAATGCCCTTTGTAGCCATTTAGAGTGTAATATGATTTTGTCATGAATTGTGTAACGCTTAGAAGGAGACTTTTCCGACCCTATAATGAACATTCTTGATCAGTTTAAGCAGTCGAGTCTGTTTATCTGTTGCTATACAAGTCCAACCAATCGCTAATACTTAAAGCTATTACCATGAAACCTTGCACAGTTCCATCTTTTTGTTGGAGACTGCAAATATTTCGAATGTGTGTCCGGATCAAACGAGTATATCATATAGCTGCAATACAAACTAAAAATTATTCGCTCGAAAATTATGTTCTTATCTGAGCCACCTTTTTTGTTGTTCTTGAAAAGAATTTCAGGGTTTCGGCATATGAGCTTCACATTACTCCTCACATATGCTGAGAACTGTAAGCAAGAGTATTTAATGTTCGGCTTGCAAGAGATAGCTATTGTTTCTCGTTTGAATTATTATTCATAAACATGCATTATGCATTTTTACACATCAAAATAATAATTAGTTAAAACATGCCTTCTCTACTACGCCGAAAATAAAACACTCTTAATAGCTTGGAAATTATTTTGTGTCCATAGATGCCATAATTTATGGTTACATGTTTTATGACAAAGTTGAAATACTCTCTGAAGGGCAAAGATGCCTCAGTCTATACCATTTGTCCAATTATCACATTTTCTGTTCCCTAAACTTTAATGTTTTCCTAACACAGTACAGCTTTTACTTAAAGACAAATATTATGGTCCTAATCGAAAGCTATATATTCGTTTTAAGTTTTGTGTCCTTGTCTTCTGACTCGCCGATCGTAGCGTTCGCACTAACGTGAACGAGCCGATCTGTTCGGACTGCAATTACGTATCGGGTAGCATATAAGTTAGAAAGTCTATTTTCTGTTTTAAATACTTACTGTGCAAAATGATCAAGGCTATATATACGATATATCGAACAGAATTATTCAATTCAATTATATGGTCATATGATTACATTAATCAACTGGTTGGGTTCCAATCTTCCACAAAAGTTGCCCTTATATTCTTAAACCAAAATCATTAATCTAATTTTTAAGAATGACTCAATTCTACTGAGCTGCGGATCATTTTTCCATGCAGTTTAATATGTTTTCGTAATACTTGTAAAAAACATATCTCAATCACAGCTCCTACAGTCTTTCATACGGTTTTCTCATCTTGCTTTATAAATGAAACAGTCAACTAATATTGAATGAAGCGCAGGGTTCAATAAACGCTGCCAACGTTTCATAAGCTAATCCAGTTTTGTTATATGCGATTAGACAGACAGTTATTATTATATATATATACCTTTTTTTTCACTGTACATGATTGCATATGGCTTGCCATTCTGTCCATCATATGTTTGCATTTTAAATGGCAGCCAATTGTTTTATGTCAAATTGCAATTTAAATATGGTTAGCTGTGATCCTAATGTGTTTGTGTTTGGATACAGAAATGTGTGCTTAGTGCTTTACAGTTTAACGAAAGTCACACAAGCACATAGATATATACACTCACGTAGCATAAGTATGTATGTTGGGCAGAACGCAGGCAATTTATTTATTTATAACACTTGTAACTGTGAAATGTAATTTTGTCGAAATCACAAAATGCCATACACTAACGAACACAAAACTACACACGCACACACGCACAGATATTCAAACAGTTGGCATTGGTATTACTCATACGCCCTGTTGCCGACTCAACCGCACTTTGCGCCCATTTGTATGCTATAAATTTTTAGCATGTCAATATGCTTAGTAGTTTAACTGGCCCGCCTATCCGTTTCCCCCCGCCACTGCATGCTTTTTGAATACACACACACATTGGGCTCAGCTTGTTTAAAAGCAATTAAATTTGAAAGCACTTCATACACATATATTCACGCACACACATTCACACATAGAGATAGAGAGCAAGGGACAGACACAGCTGAACACTTCTATGTTATGCAAAATTGATAATAATACAATAATTGCACTTGCAGCTGTCATTGCAACATTTGAGTGCCTGTCACTTGTGGCATGATAACAAAAACAACAGCCACAACAACTGTAACACTGATCAAATACAGCAAAGCTGAATAATCCCTTTTATATGAATATATTTACTTGTTCTTTAAAATAAAATAATAAAATTTGTTAATATTTTACTAGTCCCAAAATTATCAAATAATTTGCATTCATTTACTCAAAGGATTCGTTTGTTTTTAATCCGGATAATCGAATCTAGTCAACTTTTCCTTTGGCTTCTCATACGCATTGGCCCATGCCCTGAGGCAAGGCCTTAACTATATTTACACAGTCTGGAAAAGTGTTCTCAGCTGAGTTTTCGTCTGAGTTGGGTCCAAGTAAACACCAGTCTAAGTGGCTCAGATGAGAAGCTCAGACAGAATGGAATCTTTTCTATTTGGTCTAGGCCCTCAGCTGAGCTGTCATTTAATAGGTCTGCCAGATTTCAATATGCTGGCGTTGTCGTTTATTCCAATTCGTGTCAGTCTTATTCGATATCTTCTACCCCTTCTTGGATTTGTCGTAAAACTTTTTTTTAAGTTTTTGTCAATTATATTTCTCTCTCGTGTGTAGAAACCGAATTGAGCTGCTCAGCTAATTCAGCCCGTATTTAAAGACTCTCTAGGGCTACGAACCCAAAAGGTTCGTTTACTGGTTGAATCCAAGGATTCAAGAAGTTGAAGAAGTTACTTAGTTAACCTCTTACATTCATATTTATATACTGGAAATAATGCAAGTCTTAAAAATTCGCCTATAGAGATTGTGAGTTATATTTATCTATTCGGCAGGATTTTGAAGAAGTTATTATTTTGAAGAGAACCAAAAAAAAAAGGTTCGATTCGGGAATCAATTTAATTTAACTAGTTGAATAGTAAAAATAAAATTTCTTTTATTTTATATTTGCTTAATTCAAAATGAACATAATTATAAATGAAATATTTTCATTATTTTAATTTAAACGAGAAACCTTTCAGCTTTTAAGAAATACACATAACAAGGTAAATAATATACTTGTTGCATAGGCTGCTTTAAAAAAGTTCAACAATAATTCAGCTATTGTTGTTGTTGTTGTTGTTGTTGTTGTTGTTGCTGTCGTTCTTGTTGGCAATGTCACCTCTTGGTCAGAGCTGCATCCGCTTGCCATAAATTATGTGCGCACATACAATCGCGATATGGCTGGGGATATGGGATCGTATGCATTTGTAGGGTCACGCGATTGCATTGCTTGTTTGTATTTACACTCAGGTGTGTATTGTGTGTGCTGGTGTGTATGACTGCTGCTGCTGCTGCTGGCGCACTTGCTTGTGTGTGCGTGGCGCCGCTTTGCTTATTCATAAGCCGCGACAGGCCATGTTGACACCTACACCTATACACACACAGCTACAACTACACAAGCGCACGCACACACACATGCACACTCAAACAGCCAGCAGCAAGGGTATCCAAAATTGCCATCTCGAAGGCTGCTAAGAAACTTATAAATGTTGACTAAAGTTAATCCCAAGCAAATTGAGCATGAATCCTAGACAACACAAGATTTGTGTACATATGTTGTCAAAGGCGCAAATAATCTAGGCTAAAAGTCTTTGACTGTCTTCGCCTGTTATAAACTTGTTGTCCTTACCTTGAGTTATGCAACACTGAATGCCATTTAAAATTTGTAAAATTGAATTAGGCAACATCTTATAACAATTTTCAAAATTAACCACACAATACGAAAATTTTCAGCTCCCCAGGCCAAACTTTGTGTGCAACCCTCGCACACACACACACACACACGCACGCACGCACACACGAACACATATTTGAACCTGGCCATAAGCTAAATGCTAGCCATATTGTTGTTGTTGTTGCTGTTTCCGTTGATGTTATGTTGGCTTTTCTCTTTTGCCGCTTTATTTGTTTGCTGTTTTAACCGCCATCGCCCTCTCGTGGTAGCTTCTCTTTCTCTTTCGCTTTGTTACCTCTGCGCCCCCTGGCCTATACTCGTGCTGCTCCGCTTGGCGTATCCGTAACAGTGTTTGCTCCACTGCAACTGTTTTTGTTGTCGTCCTTAAGCAGATAATCAAAAGTAAATAAAAACATTTTTCATTGTCTGCGCTCGCAAAAATGTTTCCGCGATAAAATCACAGCTACATAGTAAATAGATTTTTGTGAGACACTGTCAATTGTTAATGTCCATGCTGGCATTAGCCCAACCAGCACCCTGATCCCTGCTTTCGCCCCGCAGCTTGGAAAAGTGTCGCCTTAAGTATAAACATTAAAAATTAACCACTAAAACAAAATGCGCCCCGGAGACAATTTATGAGAATTTTATTTCCGAATCGAATCAAGAAAAACACATTAATCTACTTAAATAATCAACGCGTTCTCTTCTTCATCCAGTTCCACCCCAAATATGCCTACTTCATTATACGTGTGTGTGTGTGTGTGTGTGTGTAAAAGTATTGAGCGCCTGTCCTTCAATCAGTCAGACGGGAGCGGGACTGCTGTAATTATCCACATGATTATTAAGCTTACTTCTCAGGTTGGCAGCAGCAGCTGAACACTTAATTAACTTGC